TATTTATACCAATATATACCAATAAATGAATTAGTTTCATAGACGAGTTATTTTAAATTCTAAGATAAAATACATATAGAGGCATGAAGTGTCTCAATTCCACTAGTCATAATAATAGTAATTTAAGTTAGGTTATTGACACATTTCGTAAGGTAATGGATGGTTGTTGTGGTGCTCTCATGCTATATTTAAGAAAGCATCAATATTTAAGCAAATTTATTGTCAAAAAGTTCATGTGTGATTAACCATGGTAAGTTAAAAAAGACGATGAAAAAAAGTTTAAGTTACTAATATCTAGTTAGAGCTAGTGCTGGATATATGATTTAAAGTGTTTGTATCAAGGAGTTAAAGAATTATTTGGACATAACTTTTTTTTTGGCATTTTATGGGTACTCTCTTTTATAGATAATTTTGATTTTTGATCTATGACAACATGAAAATTTCATGTTGAAATAACACAAATGATATGCTTAATATTTTGAAACAATTTTTAGCTTATTGTAAACAACTAGTGAAAGATTCGTAAACATCATTTGGTACAAAATTAGATTTTAAGTAGTTATTTGAATGACAAGTTGCAAGACACACAGATAAACCACTGTGTTGTTGACTTTGAACAGAAGAAAAGAGGCACAAATGGGAGAATTTATAAAGTCCATCTTGACCAAAAGGTGCTTGAAGAAACAAGTCATTAATAACTTAAGATTTCAAAAGATAGATAGTTAGGTGAAAGTCAAAGAAATTATTATTATCCTTAGTAAACTTACTTATACTAACTATATTTTTAATAATGTGAGGAACATAAATAAATTATGAAAGACAAAGTTAATATTGAGATTAAAAGACAAAGGAAATCAAGTTGAACATGACAATAAAATAGGAAGGTTTTCACCATTACCAACAAAAACCTGCTCTTGTTCATCATAAGGAGTAGCTTGTTGAATGTTGACTTGCTCAGATGTCACATGGGGTGAGACACTTGATTTGGATATCATCCCGTAGAGGATTGATATTGATGTTTGCAATAAAGGTCTTTGGAGCAGATTGTCAGTTCACAAGGAACAAGGAGATGATAACATGGTTGATTATTACTACTAAATCCACTATAGTATTGTAAGGCGAGTAGGGATCACAACAATTATAGGATATAGATGTTTGATGTTTGTAATTCAAACACACTTTACATTGAACAAAATTTCGTCCACGATCCCCTCCTCTTCCATCACAACCATAATGCTGATTAGATTGATTAAAAGTTTGTAGAGTATTGCTAACTGTTATTGACCAGATTAGCTTGTGGTTGAGTAGAAATATTATTAGAATCGTTCTTCTTGTTCATCGAGAAATGTTGACTAAGGTAGATACAATGTTTTGAAACCTTAAATTTTCTCTAATTGAGCTTTTTAAGTTATGAGAAGCACCTCCAATTCATCAAAATTGAATGGTTCAAAACGAAAATTGTTGAGGTTGCCTAGAGAATCATATTCTTCAAGAAGGCCTTCAATGATCACATCAAGTTAATCTTGAAGAGAGAGATTATTGATTGAACAAAGAGCATTAACAATCGCCTTGATTTCAAGAATATATCCATAGATTGGTAGATTCTTTTTTTTGGAATTTCGTAATTTTGTATGAAGCATTTTTTCTCGTCGCAATCGTGTGCATCAATTTGTCCCAAAGCTACTAATAACTTGAAAGAATTGTGTAGAAATTGATGATTGAAGCCAAGAAAGCATAAGTGAATCTTTGGATGGGTTGTTCATGCCCTTGAAATCATAATAAAAATCAGAGTTGAGATATGTATTGATTATATACTTTATATTATTGAGAAAATGAATTGTATCATGTGGTTACAACAGGAGAGCAACTATATATGGATAGTTGTTGAAATGTACATGACACACCTTAGGATAATGTAATAAAAAAGCTTTATAACATAAAAAATAACAACCTTACAAAATAAAGAAAAAAATACAATAAAGTAAGTTCAGCTAAGATCTTGTTCACCCTACTGTAAGAATGTCAAAATAACATATTAATATATTCTAACAATTGAGTTGAGTTGGATTTCATCCGAATATTTTAAAAATTTGAACGAAATTGTTTGAGTTAGATTTAGCAAGTTTAGGCTCATAAGTATTCATGAACATCTCTACCTTTTTCATTTATGAAATCTACAAAATTTTGTTTTAATTATTTATTTTTAAAGGAAATGTTTTGATCAATTAATCTTTAAATTTTAGAACAATGGTTATTATCAATTTCGATCATACCAATGCACGTTATCATTATTTTAAGGCTAAAACTCTATTTTGGTCCTTTATAATCTTTTTTTATTTCAATTTAGTCCTTCATTAATTTTTGGTCTCAAATTGGTCCCAAATTAATTAATTGGTTTCAATTTAGTCCCAAATTAATTAATTAGTTTCAATGTGGGACTTCCGTCCAAATTATTTAAACGGAGTTAACTTTTGGCCACGTGGATGTCACGTAGATGCATACGTGGCATCCACGTGGATGAGAAAATTCTTTTTAAGACACCTGGACCCGAAACGGCCCGTTCTGAAACCGGAACGGGCCATTCTGGTTGCAAAATTAAAATACCACCAGTGAAGCAGAACGGGCCGTTCTGAAATCAAAACGGGCCGTTCTGCTTTCAAAACGGGCCGTTCTGAAATCAGAACGGGCCGTTCCAGAACTGTGAATAAAATATTCTTTACTTAATTGTGTTTTTGATATTATAATTATGCAATTTTGATCTCTAAGGTTTTAATTGAGTAATTTCAGTCCTTAAAAGATTATAATTGTGTAATTTTAGTCTCACAATTTTTAATTGAACAATTTTAATCTCTCAAATATCATAATTGTAGAATTTTAGTCTTTCTCATTAAAAATTTAATAATTTTAAAATTTTAATATATATATATATATAGTTTTAAAACTATATAATTGTTTGTTTATTTAAATTAACGTATATTATTTTTTTTAATGTATCAAATGATATATATTTACTATTACTAAATAAATAAAATTTATATATTATTAGTATTTTAATATTACTGATAAATTAATATCAATAATATTTTTACCCTTTTTATAAATAAACTAATAATTTGATAAATATAACTTAATATATATTAATATACTTTTACAAAAATATAAATATATAAGATCAGATATATATTTCTAATTAATATACTTATATTTTTGTAAAAGTATATTAATATATAACAAGTTATATTTATCAAATTATTAGTTTATCTATAAATATATTAATAATATTATTGATATAATATCGAAAATTATAATATACGTTAATTTGAATAGATAAATAATTATTTAATTTTAAAACATTATATATATATATATATAAATTATTAATTTTTAATGAGAGAAACAAAAATCATACTATTATGATATTCGAGGGACTAAAATTGTTCAATTAAAAATTGAAGGACCAAAATCGCGCAATTGCAATTCTTTAAGGACTAAAATTATGCAATTAAAATCTTGGAGATCACAAAACTGCACAATTGTAATACTTGAGGGATAAAAAATGCAATTAAACCAATATTCTTAATTAATTTTATTAAAAAATATAATAATTAATAAGATAAAAGGAATATCACTTTATAATTTTTTGCAACTTATTTAAGATTAAAGGAATAAAATGATAAAAATTAATAAGATAAACATAATAAAATAAAATATAAAAAAAAATTTATATATTTATTTTATTGGATATAATAACATAATTAAAATATAATTAATAATATATATTTTATAAAATTATTAATATTTTATATATAAAAAAATAAAATAAAACCGGAACGGCCCGTTCTGAAACTGGAACGGGCCGTTCTGGTGCATTTTGGGTGTGTTAATTTTGCACTTGGAACGGGCCGTTCCGGATGCAAAATTAACACACCAAAAGTGCATCCATAACGGCCCGTTCCAGTTTCAGAACGGGTCGTTCTGGGTCCAGGTGTTTTCAAAAAAATTCTCATCCACGTATGCATCTACGTGGCGTCCACGTGGCCAAAAGTTAACACCGTTAAAGCAATTTGGACGAAAAGTCCCACATTGAAACCAATTAATTAATTTAGGACTAAATTGAAACCAATTAATTAGTTTGAGACCAAATTGAGACAAAAAATTAACGAGGAACTAAATTGAAACAAAAAAAAATTATAAGGGACCAAAATAGGGTTTTAACCTTATTTTAATTAGCATAAAAGAGAGTCTTTGTGTGTATTTTATTCAAAAATAAAAAAAATATACTATATCTCAACTTTTTTTTATAATATTATATATCTCAAATTATTCACAAAAAAATTCTAAACGATTACTAAAAATAAATTTAAATTAAATTATAGCGTAAATAAATTTAACTTATTATATAGAGACAAATATATTCATATAAAAGTGGATGTAAAAGCTGGTTATTAAAAGTGTATATGAACTATATAGATATAGATATTTATTATATAAAAAGTTGCAATTTTTTTTATAACTTACACCAATATCATTAAGTCATTAAAGTGAACTGAAACTTATGAGTCAACTCAATCTATCATGGATTTGAATTAAATTAGATAAAAAAAATTGATTTATTTCAATTATATGAAAAATTCGACTTAGCCCACTTATAATTTGACTCACTACGGGCTAATTTATGGTGAGTTAAGTTGACTCATGGTTTGACACACATAGTATATATATATATATATATATTAAATTTTTAAATATTAATTTATATGATTATAGATTTATGTCATTAATTAATTTTGTACATACTACTCGTGAATTATGATAATTTAGTGTTAATTTGATATTATTTACTAATATTTTGTGTGATAATTTAAATATTATTTTATAAATTAATTGTGATTGATATTTATTTTTTTATTTTATAATTAACATAGTTATAATTTTAAAATATAAAATTATAATATATATTTTTTTTTATAAATTAATAATTTTTTTTTAAAAATTTAAATAAATCACTAACCTATTCTGAGTGAAGTTGGGTTGATTTGTAAGCTAACAAAGAGCAGCTGAGTTAGATCTACTAACCTACTGTCAATCCTGTGGTTGAGGAATCATGCCAGGTTACCCTTTACAGTTCTAAATACACTCCTGGTTTTACTACACGTCTAATGCATAGAACAATAATTTTTTTTACATGGGATTAGGATTGACATTCGAACTTCAATATGAAATGTGTTGCTCTTAGTTGAAGCAATGGAAAAACCACACGAATCCCAAGAACCATCACAGTCGCAAGACTCGGCGCAAGATCACCACACCTGGATAACGTTAGTGTGTGAAAATTTGTATTCCCAGAATTCAATTTTCATTCTTTTAATTTCTTTTTATACAAGCTTAAAAGTGTTTTCTTTAAAGTTTTTTTTTTTTTTTTTTTTTTTTTCTGGTAACTAAATTCTTAAAACTACTTCTATTCAAATAAGCTATTAACGATTAATTAATATGTATAACCCTTTTCAGTGCACAAGATATTCTGAGGGAAAAATTGATCACAGAGGACAGTTTCGCATGGAAATTAGCCACCACAGGCGCATCACAAGTTCAAGAGGAAGAAGCATTGAGATACGTTGGTGGGGTTGACATAAGCTTCTCAAAGGATGATCCATCAAAGGCATGTGGCACCCTTGTAGTGTTGGACTTCCACACTCTTCAACTTGTCTATCAGGACTTCTCTTTGGTCACTCTTCAAGTCCCTTATGTGCCCGGCTTCCTTGCATTTAGAGAGGTTTTTTTTTTTTTTTTTTATAATCTTTTTCTGTTTGATCATTTTTTAAATATGACCAACTGATTTGATACTTTTTAGTATTATTTTTCATTGTTATTTTTCATATGTTCAAATCTTGTTACCATTATTGTACACACAGTAAAAGTAATTAAAAGAAAAGAAGATAAAATTAGGAATAAATGCATTAGAACCCTAATTGATTGGTCAAGTGGAACAAGACAAGGTCTACTAGGAATAAAATTTGTTTGATCGATGTAGTCGTCATCGCCTATTGAGAAAAAAGCTTGGTTGTTGTTGTTATTGTTGTAGTTTCTAAAATGTTTGTTTCAGCTATTATATTGATTGCTCCTATGATTTTAGGCCCCAGTTCTTCTACAGCTTCTAGAGAAAATGAAAAGGAGTGATAATCCTTTCTATCCCCAGGTAATTGTTGTGTGTTACATTAAAATAAATTATATGAATTTGATGTGTTTGAAACTTGCTCTTTTTTCTTTATTCAATACCCACATTGTTGGTGCCAATCTTGTTAGCTGCACTAAAAACTCAGATATGCAGAATTCTAGCGGATTGGTAACTAATTGCTTTTGGATACATTTTAGCAATTTAGGATGTTTTTATACCAAAATTTTCATCATCTGAATAGAAGGTTATTTTGATGTCTGTTGACAGTTGTTAATGGTTGATGGAAATGGAATACTTCATCCCCGAGGCAGGTGCTTTACACACATTTTGCATCCCCCCTTATAAGAGTCATGCACAAAATTTTCTGATTGATGAATTTTTTCTTTTCTTAAAGAAGTCATACATTAGAAGGATTTACTTAGCTTCTATAAATATGATATTTACAAAGGTACTCTTGCTATTATACAAATTTTTGTTGGATAGAAATCTAACAGCTTTCATGTGAGGGCCGTTTATTATTATTTTTCTGGTCTGGTAGACTAATGGAGTATTGAATCAATCATTTTCCAGTTAATATAATGATTGGCTGTTGTTTCAAATCCCAATAATTGATCAATTTGCAACGTTGTCTAGCAATTGATGCTTCGTGTAACTAAAAAGGAACTTTGTCCGTTCCATTCATAGGATGTTCATCACTCAATATCCAATGTTATTTTTTTTTCTTATCGAGCATAACTATCCTGAGAAAGTTGAAGTAATTTTAAGTTCTAAATTATATGTTATAATTGATTTAACACATAAATTTTAGCTTGCTACCTGTGTTTAACATGGAAAGTCTATAAACCTTCTGCAGGTTTTGGGCTGGCCTGTCATATTGGAGTTGAGGCCAATCTCCCAACGATTGGGATTGGAAAGAATGTTAGTATTGATAGTGCCACTTATTGATCTCTCATCTCTTGGGTCCCAGTACTGATGAGCCTTCTATATATTTTCACTTGCTTCTGTATCAATTGATCAATTCAGAGACACAATAACTGTGTGTTACTTTTGTAGTTAAGAACTATAAGTACTGAATAGGTGCCTGAATTCTTTAGCCTTATATGTTTCAGTTGCATCATGTGGATGGTCTTACACATTCTAGAGTGAGAGAACTTCTTGGAGCTGATGAAAACTCTTCTGAAGATTTTATTAATTTGGTGGGTTGTTCCGGACGTATATGGGGAGCGGTAAGAACTTGAATTAATAGTACTCCACTTGTCCTTGTTTGTTATAATAATGATGTACTGACGCCTGACGAGTATATGCCATTACAAAAAGACTGTATCATACTCCTGGAAAACAATTTATTAAATGTTATCAAGTAAAACCTAAATAAGCTGCTAAAATTTAGTTTCATTTGTTTATGCATTTTTATTTTATATTGATTCAACATGCTTTAATGGTTTTCTTTTCTTGCCACACTTATGTCCAGGCCATGATATCTACACAGGGATCCATAAAACCAATATTTATCTCAATTGGTCACAGGATTTCTCTGCATACGGCCATTATGATTGTTCAAATGACTTGCAAGTATCGTGTGCCTGAGCCAATTAGGCAGGTTAAACTATCTGCTATTTGAAAGCATATAATGTCTACTTCATTTCAAATAGATGTATAATACATTCATCTTTTGCCACCAGTGAAAATTAAAGAAATAATACATGAACCATACCTATAGAGGAAATATTTATGCCCTATGGTTTTAATCCCTTATCCCCTATTAAGCAAATATTATATTTTGTATGGAAGTTGCTGGTTTTTTGTAATTGGCCACTTTGTAATTTAGGATTCACAAGAAAATTTGTAGCTTAGGTGTTATATCCAGAAGATTAGGGGTGACAAAGTAGGTCATGTCCTGCAGGCTGATTAGTCAGCCCACCAAAAATTAGCGGACCAGGTTGGACATTTTAGCCTAGCCCTCCTTTGATTAAATTGTAATTTTTAGTAATCTTTATTAAAAAAGAAAGGTTTTTAGTAATTTGTAACTTATTATTTTTGTTTTGTAGTCTTGGAATTGAAAGGCAAATTTATGTCATCGATTTTTTGATTAAATTTGTCAATTGCTATTAAAAAATTAAATATTTTTATATGAATTAATGGTAAAATAAAATTTAGTTTTTTTTTTTAATTTTGGTAAGCCAACTTGTCCCTATGTGGGTGGGCCAAGATTTCTAGCCCACTTTGACTAGCCAGTTTGTCCGGTCCCATTTTTGGCGGGCTGATAACAGGAATGTCCAAAATGGGTCAGGTTGACACGTTTTGCCACCCCATTGAAGATACAGTAGTTTTGGGTTGCACTTGTTCTCCATCACTCAATCTTCTCTTACAAATTATTGGATTGATAATTCATCTAGTGTTTCCGTATCTTGTAACTGATATCCTTATCACAATACAATAGTCCATGGTATCAAATGCTGATAGCTAGACTGATTTACTGATTCTCCATTTTCTGCTTAATACATATTTTGATTAGATTATTTACTTGTTTAGGTTTTCCATCATGTAACTTCTGCTGGTGACTGTTTTTTTTTTCCTTAAAAAAAAGAAACTATAAATTACTGGCTACAATCCAATTCTTGGAAATCAAAAGTATCCAGTCCTTACACCTCTACTTGACCTGCAGGCTGACATAAGATCTAGAGAATACATTCGGAAGCTTGAAATGAATGCCAAAGTAAAGTAGTTTCACTGATATGGTACATCACTGATAACTATCATTTATTTCTTCGGTGCGTCTTGAACACCTAAAATGATTTCAGCTACACGCTACCATGAATTAAGTTAGACACTTTATTTGTGTATAAGTGGTCCACCACAATGTTAATTTTCAAGTCCAGAGATGTAAGTGAATAAATTCAAGGTTATGATTATGCTTTCAAACCATATATTTCAACGTCCAAAAATTATCATCTAATACAATCCTAATCTTCAACTTTGATTGATACAGTGTTTTTTCTGGTGCCTCTCGCCTAATTTTCGGTATGGATCTTGATATCTTGAAATTTTTTGTACCTCTCACTTTATAATGCTGTAGAATTTTCGTGGTTTTTTTTTTTATTGATTTTGTTTTTTAACTGTAAATTCCTTTCAGGTCTAAGTTGAATAATGACATAGCTAAGTGAGATGACAGTAAAAAGTTTGGCTGAATTGGCTGCAAGGGACGCAAATGAATATGGCAGAACATCACAATTCATCAAGTGGTTAGAAACAAGGCCAGTACCAGTGAATTTGATTATAGCTTCATTGAATAGTACATTTCACCTCATAGGGTCTACATAGGGACTTAGCATCCCATCCGTTAGTATAAATACATCTAAATCACACATGTAAAAGAGTGATGAGACTATATACCACCAAATCACTCTCGAAATAGAACTATATGCCAACTAGCGTTCTGTGCTGTGTAGAAGTAGAATTTTCATTTCTGGAATTGCTTTGATTGTGTAGGATTAGAAGTGTTAGTAACACATTTTCTAATATATCTTTTGACATTTTTTTTGGTTAAAATCTATCCGAAACTACAAAATCATTCTCTAATATACTTTTTGTAACATTGTTGTTGGTCAAAATCTATTGAAAACTACAAAATCATGAATGAAGTTCATTAAATAAAGTGTGTTAAAATAATATTTGATCAACAAAAAATATATTTTTCTAGTACAATGTAATTTTTAATTGTTAATTTTGAGACATTGTGTATGTCCATGGATCATAAATTATGAAGTGTAATCCTTAAAATTGTGATTTTCTATAAATTTTAGCTAATAATAGAGAATGTGTTGAGAAAAGTATGTTTCCAACATTTCTTTTGAATTCAGTGGCGTTTATTTGGGTGTTCGAGCCATGTATATGGCTGTTATTCAATTATGTTAGTTTCAAAAGCCATGTATTTGAGAAAGTGACTAGAGCTGGAAGCTTATTTATTTGAGAAAGTGACAAGGTCCAAAGTTGGGAGTATAATTTATTGTCATAAAGAATTCATTCATCTTTACTATTAAATTCAAAGATGATGTTTTTAACATTGTTAAATAAATAATGTAGCACATTTTTTCACTCTTTTTTTTTTTATTTATAAAAATGTTACTAAATTATAAGATTAATTTAGGATTTTCGTGCCACTTTTTTATATTCGTTTCTTTAACATTGTTCCGCTGTTTCCCTCTCACCCAGTACTCTGTATCCTAGTTTATTTTACAGATGCATGTATTTATATTACCTAAAAGTAGATATAAATTTCGTTGTATTTGTGTAATCACAAATGACTGGGAAATTGAGCTTTTGTCATTTCTACATAACTCTAGAGCATATAATGAATTCACATTTGACTGTTATGATGTATGTAATATTGTTGTTAACTTGAACATCTAGACTCCACATTCCTTATTATACGAAAATGTTGTCGACATTTGCTTTAAGTTGTTCAGCTTTCATGGATATTAGGAATCAAGAATCCAGATTTTAAGGAAAGGGAAAAATGAAAATTAGCATTTTGAGGTTTTGGTCATATGTGACTTTCAAAAGGGGAAAATGAAAATCACTGTCTCTTAACTTTCAAAGGGTGTATTTTCTACGGGATGAATAATTCTATAATTTTACATTTGCATGAGAACAAATGCTTCCCACATTGGCTACAAGAGAATAAAAACATTTTCTAAAAATTTCGGAGAATATTAAAGGTGAGAATAAAATTATCTCACGACAATAGAGTGAAAAATTCTAAACTTTCTCAAACTAATTGACAATAAATATATTATTCCTGAAAAGTTAAATAATAACCAAACCAAAAATCGTATTCTTGAGATTCTCATCCCAAAAGAATAGCTTAGTTAGAAATGAAAGATTCCTGTACCAAACGTCACTTTAAGGAAATATTGGCCACTATTGAACACTGCAAAGGAGCTTCTATGGTCTTCATTAACAAGCTTTACATACATTAGCTCCAACCGACATTTTGAATATGAAAAATGAAGTACTGTCTACATTCTCCAAAAATAAAATTAAAATCAAGAATATTCAAGGGTCACAGAAGAGAGAAAAACAAAAATACCAAGAGTACTATTCTGAGAGACCCGATTCTCCCATTCCCATATAAGCCAGCAGAATCTGTCTGGATCATGATTCTGAACTTGCAATCTCCAGAAGAAGGATCCTTGTCAGTAACAACAGAAAGGCCAGGGAATCTGCATGCACTGTCAATCTGATCATTCACTTGGTAGTAGCTATTGAATGCATAAGAGATGTTACCACGAGCATCTAAACCACCACATGAAGTTTGATATCCAAGACTAGTGCAATCTGCATTTTGACAAGCATAAGCCACACTTGGTGCCACTTGATCATCATTGAGGTTTGCTGAGGGTTTCAAAATGCACCACTTTTTAGCCAGATACGCCACCCCAGTTGCAGCTACTAAGCCATTTGTTCTTGATCCAATGTTAAGCTGGTACTTGGGTTGTCCATCATAGTAAAACAACCCCCAATGCCTTTCAAAATTACCTGGCTGAATGCTCTTGCTATCTTCATCTATGAGACTAAACAAGTAAGCATCCATAGGACCAGGCCTCATCGGTGTCCCCTTTCCAGCGATATAGCGCGACATAAAGCCTTGGTTAAAGCGCTGCGCATATTGAAGATTCGCATTTCGGTCTCCATCTGTGGGCCACCCAACTTCTCCTACAATTATAGGCATGTTTGCAAAACCGTTCTTCTGCAGCGCCCACACGAGAGTGTCATAGTTGGCATCAAAGACATTGTCATAGATCCTTCCGTTGTCATTTATAGGAGACTGGAAGCCATTGAAGAAGGCGTAGTCAACAGGAAAATTGGCATCTGAATAGAGGCTTATGAAAGGATAGATGTTCACAGTAAATGGGGCGTTGTTCTGGCTCAAGAACTTGACAATCTGCACCATGAGGTCGTGGATGTCTTGCCTGAAGTCCCCATCGGAAGGCATTTGTGCGCTCTGATACACGTCAGCGTTTAAAGGGACAGTGACTTTAACCTGATTGCCTAAACCAGCTTTCACAAGAGCTGATTGGATGTTTTGAAGAGCTGGAAGTGTTGTGGCTTCAAAGGTACCATTGTAAGTTGACAAGAAAGGTTCATTTCCCACTGCAACATACCTTGAAAAAATTACAGGAAATAATGTTTGAGAAAATATAGATGATTGCAACATTGATATATGAATAATCAACAATTTTACAATTGAGGAAACGTGATCTGCAATAAATAGCAGATAAAGAAATGGAAAAACATTGCAACAGCAAACACAACATAAATAAGTTAGATCTTTTGGCAGGGAAGTTCCAAAACATTTAAAAAGTAGAAGACAGTCACACAGGTTTACTTGATCCCAATCTTTCTGAAGGCAAATATTTCGATCTTAATTCCCTATAAGATGTAACTACACTCAAACTACAACAGAATTAGGAAGACATTGCAACTATTTATTTTTACAAATGCAACATAGCCAATAACCATATTATGTATTCTTACCAGCTCATGCGGATGGAAGTTGATAAACCATGTCCTATTTTTATGTCCTCATTTCATCAAACATTTGACAATGGCATGCAAGTGGACAAGAATATAGCATCATATTTGAATCACTCTTGTGCAACTCTAACCGATTCATTACAGGCAAACAAAAGCAGTTTAAAAGCAAGACAGCACAAACCTGAAGTGATCAATAAATTTGATTTTAAATTACAAGAAGTCAAAACAAGACTAGTTTCAAAAAAGGGAGAATCGTTGGTAGGACGGACCAAATAAGGACAGCCACTCATCTTACATTGACTTGCATAAATATAGATGAACCTTATTGCTGTGAAGATCATGTTACAAAAAGGATAGTTAAACACCAACTCCAAAGCTTTATTTAAATAGCTTAATCTATTCACACACATGTTCATTTGTTAATGATGAAAAAACAAGGGACGTGCCGTGTTTTGCAGCGATTGACACTAGAATGCAATTCGTGAAGGCAGAGAATAGATAATGACACAGAACTCATCACTCCTTTTACCTCATGTCCATATAGAAAATCACTCAAATTTGGTTGGATTTGAGTGGATTTGATCTCCAGATGAAATAAATTCGAACAAATATCCAAATCAAACCAAGTCAATTCTATTAAACAGAATCAAGTCAATTCTACATTTTAATCATTTCAAACACATTGGAAAGGATTCGGCAGAGTATTCCACTAAAAGCACATCAAGGAAAGCCAAGTAATTTCTTTCATTTGAAAGTTTCTTCCAATTACAAGTTGCAATGATATCTTCTAAAATGTCTGTTATCTGTACCATTATCATTACTTCACAAAAGCATTGAATCAGATCAAATAACAGTCCCTAATGTAACAGGACCTCCAAACTCAGCTTAACATAGCTGAATTACACTTGAAATGCAGAATTACATAGCTGAATCACTCAATACATGCATTGACACCCCAAGTTATGAGCTGCATAAAAAGCAATATTTGAACACAACATAAATGAGACAACACTCAATAGAGACAGAACAAAAGGGTAATTTACCTGATGTCCACTCCCCCAGATGAGACATGTGCTGAAACATTCTTGGAAACCCATTTTTCAGCTGCTTGCATGCTGTTAGCCAATGTGTAAAGCATATCATTTGGTATACCCACCATCACCTGAATCCCAGACTTCTTAAGACCACTTAAAATATCAGGGTCAGCATCGAAAAGCTTAACTTTCTGAAAACCATTGTCCCTCAGCATTTTCACCACAGTGGATGCTGGCAAAGGGTGTGATAATTGTGTGCCCCAATTAACACCAATTCCACTCACTAAACCCACCAACAGTGCAACAAAGAACACAAAAACAAAGCACCCCTTAAACTTTCCACCCCCCATCAACTCCATAAACGCTGAACCAAGAAAACCAGAATCAGGAGGACCAATAGAAAGAAAAAAAACCAAACTTTTACTCTTTTGTTAGAGTATATCAAATTTGAACCTCAAAGCTGGGTTTTTTATTCCTGGATTTCAACAAGTTCGTCGCTTTATTCTGCAACCAGCGCAGGAAATCAAAGGCTGGCATGGTGAAAATATCAGAATCTAGACAACAATTCAAGCACAAACCGAAAAGATTCAGTAGTCCAGAGTGAAGAAGTTTAGTTAGAACATAACGAGGTGAAACAGTTACACAAAAAGCAAGATCACAAATATGGAAAGTGAGAAAGCAGGAAAGTTGAAGCGTTTAAAAGGCAAGCAGAAAAGCTAAGAAGAGATCTCTTTGGATTGCAGAAAACTTTGGCTATGTTAAAAGCTTTAGCTGATTAGCTTTGCTGCTTCCACATAATAACAGTAGAGAGAGAGAAAGTGGCATTATTGAAGTATGAGAGAGAATATTTATGGTGGAGAATACTTTTTTTTTTTTTTTTGTTGAAATAAGTAGACAAGCATGCTGAACAAAGTGGTTCCTTACTTTGTTAAGAAAAGAAAACTACAGAAAATGATAATCCCACGTGTACGTGTAGTGATAACTTTATTTGCATCGGTCTTAGACGTAATAAATGAGTTTTCTTTTTTTACATCAAAATTAGATTAGAGTAAGATTTGATCTGTGCAAAGTCAGACAGAAGATTAGACGTAATAAATAAGTTTATCATTTATGAGTTTTTCTTTTAAATATTTCTTACGATTATAAGTAAAAAAGAATGTCTCATGGTAACTAGTTTACATTATTTAGTTTTTTAATTTTATGAAAATAACTTTTTTTTAAAAGTACTGTTTTTTAAATTAATATAAAATAATATATATATATATATATATATATATATTAGAACTACGATATCAATTAAAAAGAAGAATATTTAAAGTATGATAACATTTAATAGAGTGAAATTAATTAAAATTTACTTATGGTTAACATCAATAAACATAAGATTTTTTTATTACTTATATTCAAAACGGAAAAAGTATAATTTTTTACAAGTTTATAATAATAATAAGATTTAATTAAATATTAATCCTTTAAATTTGAAGTAATTGTTTTTTTAATATTTTAAATTTAAAATTTGTGTTTTTAGTTTTTATAATTTTAATCTTTGTATATATTTTTTTATCCTTCAAATTTAAAATATATTTTTTTAATCTTCAAAATATAAAAATTATTATTTTAGTCCCCAAATTTAAAATTTATCTTTTAATTTTTATAATTTTATTAAAATATTTTTTATTTTTCATGGTTATTAATAGCATAATTGACAGTGAAAAATTGAGATAATTTTGTAATATCAATTAATTTAATATAATATTTTCACTAATAATTATACTAGAAGAAGAATTTTGTTTGATAAATTTATTAATGACATTTAAGTAGAGGAATAAAATGATAAATCTTATATTTTGGAGACTAAAAATAAATGTTTTAAATTTGAGAAGCTAATATATATATGAGAAGAGTTCAAACGACACTGGTACAACTTTTACTAAGTGTTACACTACTTAATAACTTTAAATTAAATGTGAAATTTGTAAATCCAATCGTTAGATTGAAAGTTCTTTATTCTTAGATCATGTATACAAAATTTTATATTAATCCAAGATGATTTGATACTTCATTCTTATAAAACAAAATTGACGTAATATATTTATTTCAAAATATACTAAAATATGAACACTTTGATTACCCTCAAGTTGTTGTCAATTTTAATTTTATATTAATCTAAGATGATTTGATACTTCATTCTTATAAAACAAAATTGACGTAATATATTTATTTCAAAATATACTAAAATATGAACACTTTAATATATCAAATTTTATATTAATCTAAGATGATTTAATACTTCATTCTCATAAAACAAAATTGATGTAATATATACATTTCAAAATATACTAAAATATGAATACTTTGATTACTTTCAAGTTGTTGTTCAATTTTAACAAAATTTGACATATATGATCTAAAAGATATGAACTTTCAATTTAACGGTTGAATTTTCAAAATTCACATTTAATATAAAGTTATTAAGCGGTGTAATATTTAGTAAAAGTTATACCAGTGTCATTTAAACCCTCCTCATATATATATATATATATATATATATATGAGAAAAGTCCATCAATATACTAATTTACAATAACAAACTCATAGAATAAGAAAATAAAATAAAAACAGGAAGAAAAATTATATAAAAAAAAGAAAAAAATCAATAAATCAAAATTAAAAAACATGTTGACGTGGTTTACTTAAATTGATCCATCGTAACCCATATGTCAAATTAGTCTGATTAGATCAACTTATAGAAAAAACGAGGCAAGATTTCTATAACTTGTAAAAGCTTATAGTTGAATATCCAATGATTTTTTTTAAGAAAACTAAATTAAAAAATATATTTTTTAAAGTAAATATATTTTCTAACATTAATCAAATTGATATTCTAAAAAATTAATTAAACCGATAGATTTATAATATAATTATTTTTTATTTATTTTTTTAATTTACTTACGAATTTCAAATGCATTATATTGTATAAAAATGACACTCTATATTGTAATATAATTTTTCTTGATTTCTATTAAGTATTTGAAAAAGAGAATGAAAAAATATATATATATTGTAACATAAAAACGTCTTTAAAATAATTAAAATAATACATATATATTAATTAATCAAATAAAAATAAAATAAAAATAAAAATAAAAATATATAAATTAATTATTTGGTTTAAGTTAGACCTAGAAAAAAAAACTGAACTAATTTCATTTGTTTGATATGAATTGTCAAATTCATCATATTAATCTGATTTGATTAACACCCTTAATTTCATACGAGGAAAGATTAAGTTTTTGAATAAGAAAGGGGTAGAGGATATGCAATTTCATTAAAAAATTTAAAAGAGATCGGTGGTCCATGACTTTGTATGAAGTCCTATCTTATCTTAATAAAAAAAGATTAAAAAAAAGTATTTTTTTTTATAAATATAAACTTGTTTAAACCATTATATTATTCCAAGTGGAGACGTGATTCCTTGTCTAAGGTAAAGCCATTTCACCTTACAATCGAGTGTTTTGAATTTAATTCGGCCCATTTACTTCATGTGGGCCTTTAAACTTGTACTATATTCTTTGGTGCGCGAACTCAGATACTTTATTGGATTTGTTTCATTCGATCTGGAACATATTCAATTCTAAATTACTTGATTCAACTGTATGTATGAAAAAGAAAGGGTAATATGCATTGAATTCTACATTCACATCACAAACCATTTGCAAGGTTTATTTACTCGTTCTATTTTATTTACATTTTATATACATAACAGTTATATTTAGTCCAAAGTAATCATATGCAAATTAGATAAGTGTGTATAGTTAGTTACAAATCAAACTCAAAATCATTAGTTAAGTTAATAATTTTGTGCCGGATGATTAACGTGTGTTCATCAATTATTTACTTTATATATCAACACATTCATAATTATTTACACATGACATCATATATTAAGGAGCTTGAGCACAAAATGTACCCAAGAATTTATTTATTTTTTAACATTTAAGGAGTTGTTGATTAACACTTTATAAAGTACAAACACTTACGTCTAACAAATAGATATATAAGAATCTAATCTATTGATTCAAATCATACAAGTTTTCCATCATGGAACTTTTTTATTTTTTTATTTTCATTCCCAGAAGGCATATTACGCTTTATGGCTTTGAACATAATATAAACTGAAAGTACCAATGATCATAAGGTGATGTCAATAAAATTCAAATTCCTTCATATACATAAATTAACTTCTGGTTAATATAACTTAAACCCACACGATGAGAAAATTAAATAACTGTATCAACCATAGCATGAGAAGAAGAATAACACCTCATTGATTATACATTTATATATTCTTAGTTCTTTGGGAATTGAAGAGTGTAAAAGATGCTGGGTATACTTAACTTATGTCACTAAACGCTGGGACAATGATTGAACCCATCTTGAATAATGGAATGAAAGCTAAATGGGTGCACACCTTATTATTATTCTTAAGCGAGACAAGAGAAAGGTTGAAAACATATAGAATGTTGTGCATAGAAGAATTCGGGGGATGAAATTTTGCTAAGACTAGACATGATATAAAAGCTTTACTAAAAAGTTGGCTTTGTAAGAGCAAAAGATGTAGGCATAAGTACTTGTCCTGTAGCAATCCCATCCTCAATCCCCTTCAGGTGATGAGACTCTCTTTAGTCTTTACACCTCAATCTCCACTTACTAACCTAAATTTATTATGTTAAGGAAAATCCCTAAACTAATGGGGAAACTCTTTTCATACTTATTTTGTCTTTAATCGTTCAAAGGCTACTTCTTTCTAATTCTAATTAATAGTAGTCACGGGGACCTCTTTGATTTGTTCCATATAAGCTATACCTGTATTATAGTTTATGAGGTTATTATCCTAATAAAGTAGGCTAACGTACCCTTGGAATTTTGCTTCATTTCAAAATTACAATGTTAATAAAGTTTAAGACTTTATTAGTCGACCAAATATTATATTACAAAATTAGAGTAGAAAATATGAAACATTCATTTAGTGAGAACACCTGTGACTTGTATTTTCTTTCCTACAATAAAACGTATACTTAGTTTTTAGTCTTTTTCATTTCCACTACTAAACAACAACACTGCAAAACAAGTGTTACACGTTCAATAATTATTGTGAAATAAAATTATATTAAATTCGTATTTTTAATCACACTTTATTTTCCCCTATATTCAATTATTTATATGTGTGTATTAAATAATTGTTAATATTATTTTAATTAAATTAACTTATTTCAAATAATGATTGATTGTTTCATCAAATAATTGAAATAAAAAACTATATTTACAAACAACAAATATAATTTGTGTTGATAAGTTCTTTTTTTCAATTAAAAGTAATATATGTATAGCAAATTTTTTATTGTGTGTAAAAAAGAGGTGTCAAATGAACCACTAAGGTGGGTCTAGTAAAGAAAATTGATAATAATATATGTGGAGTTTTAGATTTAAATATTATTAATGTCATTATTGTAATTTTGATAAATAAAAAGAAAATGAAATGTCAAAGTGTGTCATACAAGATTTTTTTTTTATTCTATATTAAAATTTAAGTTCAAACCTAACCATAATAAAACTTCTTTTGTAGCTTTCGTCTTTATAAATAATCTCTATATCGTAATTAGTAATGACATGATATATATTTAAATATATAATATCAACAATTAATTTAATATAGCATTGTGATGTAGAAATAAGTTGTTCTAAGTGGTATTAAATTATGATTTTTAAAGTAAAGTTTTAAATTTAAGTTTTATAAATTAAAAAAAATGTGATAAAAAAGGAGACTCGCTAACATAGTCAATCCAGTATCTTCTTAAACCATTCATACATTTATTTATACAGTTTGTTCTTTTTTTTTTCTCCAATTTATAAACTTGGTTCTGATTATTGTTTTCATTTTTCAGAATGGAATGAATTCGGGCTTTTTCTCTTTTTCTTTTAACATTTATTTACATTTGTTAAAGTTATTATTGGGCAACCAAGAAGAACGTGAATTATATTCCTGAACGACAAGGTACAAGATAAAATTTAAATTCACATCATTCTAAACATGAGTACGACAAGTAGTCACATGGAGTAGCTATGTGACTGACTGACTATCAAACTCGTTATTCATCTCTATGATTCCCAGCTCCAAAAGAGAACACAATGCTAAACTGATAAGGTTTGTTCATTCACTATGATTTATGGAATTGACTATAAATTGATTTTGCCCCATACATATGTATAAAACTACAACACTACTAGCCCATAGTATAGGAAGGGCTGGGTAAGTTGATCACAGTAGTTTTGACCTTGGTCATCATGTTTATGCTGTTGGTAATCCCTTGAGATCCAATGCCACTGTCCTTTATACCCTGTCAGCAAACCATTTGTTAATACCTTTGTCATATAGAAAACAATGCTTTTGATTTTTTTTCTAAGTTTTGGAAATAGCACTAGTGAAAAACAAGTTAAAAATGCATTTGAGAGTTTTTTTTTGTTTTTATTTTATTTTATGAAAACTCTTTATTTTCGGTAGAAAAACACTCAAAAACTTGTATTCAAACTGATTCATAATTTGGTTGGTTTTCACCTGAAAGGGAAAATGATCTGGCCCACGAGCTGGGGCTGAATTTATCTGAACTGTTCCCGTTTCCATTGCATCGCTGACCAGTATTGCTTTGTTGACATCTTTTGTGAAGACACATCCCTACACAAGTTCAATGTGTTGATACAAATTACGTCTGTTATAAGAATGCATTGCATACTTTTTAAGTAATGTTTAAGTTTGAGGGCTATAACTTTATTTTACCTGAAGTCCAAAGTTGCTTGCATTACAATGATGGATTCCTTCTTCAACTGAATTGATCCTAATTACTGGCAAAACTGGTCCAAATGGCTCTTCCCATGCAATTCTCATGTCTGGCCTAACATTGTCCAGTAGCAAAGGCCAAATGAGATTGCCTTCTCTTCTGTATTCCTGGCAGAATGTAGCTCCTTTCTCCTTAGCATCCAGGACAAGGCCTTCAATGAAATTGGCGGATGATTCTGACACAACCGGTGTGATGTCACAGTTATCCTCTGGTGCCCCGACACTTAGTTTTGCCACCTTAGCCTTCACTTTCTCAACCAAGGCATCAGCAGCGGATTCCATTACCAAGACAACCTTAACAGCAGTGCACCGCTGACCACTTTTGTTGAAAAAAAAAAGGAATAATTCAAGTGCCCCTTGTATAAAGAAATTTTTTTAATAGTAGAGCATATGATTAATTAGTTAGTTGCAGATGGTTAGCCAAATAAGCTCAGCTCTACAAATAGGAGCATGTGTAATTCATTAGATCATCAATCTATCTTTGACCTTCTGAGACTTATTCTTTCTACTTGGCCTATGCCTTTTATCTATATCCCCTCATCCACTGATAATTTTACATATAGTCATACCATCAAAAAAGAAACACATGAAGCTATTTATATAATTTCTAACCAAGAAAAATTCATCTTGTATGGTACAGTAAAATACTCTGGTATTAGCAGCAATATCTCACAAACTCTTTTTATTTCACAGAAATATGGAAAGCAAGGATGCATCATGCATGCAAAATGTGGAGAAAGATATTTATCTTAATATTGGCTGGCAGGTAGTTCTATCAAATCAATGCATAGAAGTACTAATTCAGATAAGCCATTACCTGTATGAAAAACCTCCTTTTATAATGTTTGCAGCAACCAAATCCAGGTCAGCATCCTCAAGTACAATGCAGGCATCTTTTCCTCCCAACTCCATCTGCAATGGAATCATGCCTGCCTTCTTTGAAATTGAAATTCCAGTATCTCCACCAGTGAAGCTGACAAACAGCATAGTCACAAGTCAGTATAGGAAAAATTACTTACACATGGAAAATTGAGGATATTTAGTATCACGCTGTCACAGCATCATCTAAAAGGGAATAAATTGTCACCTTATACAGTTCACTCCTGGATGCATTGTAAGAAAGTCACCGATTTCTGAGCCTTTGCCAGTGACACAGTTGATTAGGCCTTTGGGAAAACCAGCCAAGTGAAAGCAGTGAACCATGTGCAGAGCAGAAACGGCTCCCTAAAATGAATCATAAACAAGTATTTAGAAGGAGTAATAAGAAAAGAAGCGAAGAAATTATAGGACATAAAGATCCTGAAATGGAATAATTGTATCAGTTTCCTTAACTACAACACAAGTATGCTAGCACTTTTATGAGATGAGGTAGTTGTTACTGTGAGAGTGTGGATCTAACGTGTAGTGCCTTTGAAAAATTTCACAGTGAAGGATATAATTACCTGAGTTGGAGGCTTGAGCACAATGGAGTTTCCAGCAATCAGCGCAGGAGCAATTTTGGAGACAGCAAGATTGACAGGATAGTTAAAAGGTGGAATGGCTAAAATCACTCCTAGTGGAATCTGAAAATCAAATGGAACTTTCTTAGATCACACCATCAAAAGCTAAAAAACATTACAGCACTTGCCCTCTCACTCCACCATGATCATTAAATATGCTACTGCTAGTCATTAGAAGTTACTAAGATAATGGAATGTGATGCAAAGATTACACTACTTTATGGACTCCAGTTTTTGATAATATGTCTGTTTGTAATTGTGACTTAATAAAATATTTTATTATAAATGAACTTTAACTTGTGAAGTAAGTCAAGTAACACTTAGTAGAGAAGTGCTGAAGTAGACCTTGGATGTGAGGCAATATTTCGTCCTTTCATTTCCGGGAAAGCTATCCGATACCAAGAACTTTCCCTCTCCCAAAATCCTTACCCCTTCTTCAGCACAGTAAGAAACCAGATCCCCAGATCTTACAACCTTCAAGGAAAAACAATAAAACCAGTTATCTTCATGATTCAAAGTAATGGTCCCAAACAATAATTTAGCTTGTTTAACAGAACCTGACACAACACACACCTCTGTGACAGCATCTTTGGCTGGCTTTGCTATTTCTTTCACCAGGCACTCAGCAATTGGAGCTTTGTGCTCTTTAAGGATAGCAGCTGCCTTATGAAGAAGTTCAGCTCGCTTCCATAGTGGGGTCTTTGCCCATGATTTTTGTGCAGACTTTGCTAAGTCAATGACCTTATTAACCTCCTCTTGTGAACAAGCTGCATGAACATCATTTTTAGAGCTTATCAGACATACTTAATATACCTGTTTGGATAAACCTTTTTCAAAAACACTTTTAATAGAGAAAAATAGAAAGAAAAATAAAATAACTTTCTTTATGAGCTAAAATTTAGCAAATTTGTAACTAATTTGTTGAAATTCTCTTCTAGTAACTTTGCCAAAATCTTATTTTTAACTTTTATATAAGCTAGTTTTAGCTTATGAAAAAACTTATCTCATTTTTACGTCCTAATTTCTTGAGTTGAAAGTAGATAAGTTTATCCAAACTAGTCTTTAAACACAAGGAGAGTCTTGTTTCATGCACAAGTTTGGTTACACGAAACAAAAAATAGCATGTTGATATCTATCTATCTATATAACTATTTTTCTCTAACATCCACATGAAATAAAGGGCTTAAAATCCAAGAGAAAGGGAAATTAATGAAGATGTGGTAACATGTGATATGACATGTTTTAACGGTTAATTAATTACCTTGAACTTTGTATTGAGTCTTTCTGGTAGTGGGGTTGATGATGGAAACAGTTTTCCCGGAAGAAGATTTCTTCCATTCTCCATCAACATAATACTTGTAAACCTCTCCATCCAAAATCTCTGCAAAGAGTCCAGTGCCAGGAGCCATGTTAGAAGAGTTATGCAAAAGTGGGAGCCAAAAGGAGTTTATATAACGGTGAGAGGAAGAATTGAAGGTTAGGAGGAGTGTCTGGTGTAGTGTGGTTGGTTTGGTTTAGTTTTTTGGGTGATGGTTTGGTGTTGTGTGACAACATGCGTCGTTTATGTAAGGAGAAGAAGGTAAGCCACGCATCGTTTTGTCCTCTCATGTGAGACCTTGTTAGGTGGTTCTGAGATTGCCAAGTGAGCATTTATTATCTTAATCACCTTGTACTGTCTATCTTGAAAAACTAGTCATAATTACGATCTCATCATGCCGTGCCACGTAGTCAAGGAACAGTAAAAATCAAATTAAGTTATCCTCCTTTTTTCTTGGAGGAAGAGAGAGACATATAACAGTTGTGTTGTGGGGAAGGTAGTAAGAATGTGTTACTGTCTCAGACAATAATATTCATAGAAAGGAATCGAATATTCCACGGGTATTTGCTTCCTCTAAAACGTTAACATGTAGAGTAGTGTATTTACAGTTGATTAATTATACGGAATACTTTAATTTAAATTCATGATAGAGACACTTTTACTGTCATAGAGGAGGTAAATTCCTTCCATCTAATTTAATCTGTGAAGGAAAAAAGTTTATTCATGTCATTTGCTCTCTTACATCAGAATTAGTAATTCTCTCAGCGTTATTTCTTTAACAATAAAAAATCTACAAAATAATAATAAAAAGCATTATTAGGATAAATGTTAATGAAAGTTGGTCAATTTATTTTACTATTTCTTAACTAACTGCATTAATATTGAGTTATTGATCAATGCTACTGGAGTGTTTGGTTATTTTGCATCAAGACTAGCCAATGTAATTACCAGTCTCCTATAGCATTAACCAGTTTTGGGATCAATGGACCAATTTTCATTGACATTCATTCTAAGAATAAGTTATATTTACTTTGTTGATTTGTCTTTTTTTTTTTTTTACTATTAAATGCAATGCAGGATCATAATTTTTTTGCTAGAGAAATAAAGCTGCTGTAGAAAATTTGAATTGTCTTACATCATCAAACCTATAAAATGTCAAATTATTTGAAAGATAAACAGGAGAAATGGATATAAAATTTATTTTAAAATGTTTCTGAAATGCACCATTCAATGAGAAAAGTGAATCTTATTTGTTAGATAAGATATCAACCTATTAATGTATATTTTTCTCTTTAATATAGTTATAAGAAAGTGTTTTAAATTGTTTACAATAAATATATTAAAAAAATAGAATAATGAAAACTGATATGCAAACATCAGGAATCAAAAATCAAAAGTTTAAATGACGCAAAATCCAGTGAGCACAAAAAGTCATGAGAAGTGTCTGAAATAATTCGTGTCCCTCTCCACATTTTTAATTCCACGTGTGAAAAGCATGATCAATCATTTAATAATATATTGTCTGGTAACAACTGGAAAAAGAAAAAAGAAAAAAAAAAAACCTGAATATGTTATTTGTGCAAGAAAAAAGCACGTGTGGTTGATATTTGAGTTTATCTTTCGTTTACTTTACGTGGTGCTAATTAAACGGTGAGCTAATGAAGCTACTAGTTTGTTAAAATGACACAAAATTTCGCAATCCATTAAACAAATAACTAATTATGATAAAAGATAGTTATATGTTAGTCAATTTAGATTAATAATATTATAGACTTAAATTTATTTTAAAATTATCTTTCAAATTAAATTATTTAAATATTCTCTATACTTAAATATAAGAAGAGGAAAAAAATCTCATATACTTAAATATTAATAAATTTTAATTACTTTTTTATATTTAATTTTGTCATATCTAAAATACCCATCATTTAATTCATATTTAATTTTCAATAACCCTTTCATTATTAATATTAAGTTATAATCAAGGGTAAAATAAGGGGGAAAATATTTTTAATTAAAACTAATAAAATTAAATGATGCTAGCTAACTTTCTTAATTAATTGCACAAATTAACTAATTTTATTTATTTGAGTTGAAGGGGAATAATAATTATATTTATACAGTACACATATTTCAAAAGTTGGTGTATCATCATGTTAATAAATAATAATAAATATATTCATTTGCATACGAATTAAGTAAATATGTCTCATTAATAAATTTCATGTAAATAAAGGATATACAAAATAAATTAACAAGTAATACATCATAAAATAAGTTTATACTATCTATTATAATTAGGGAGAAAATATTTAATCATTTTTTATATTGAGGATGTGAGATACTTTTTTTTTTTGTTTCGCATTGAACATAGTTTTAATATTTAAAAAATATTTTAAAATTAATGATGTTCTCATTTTCTAATATAATATTAAAAAAATTAATATACTTTTCATAAATTATTTAACTCCTATAATTCAAAGTAATACATTAATTAAGACGATGAATTATTTTAATAAATATATTATAAAATCATTTATCATTATTCATAATTTATGTGTAGAAGCTTTAAACTTGGGGATTGTAAAATGTAAGGAGTAGTATATTAGAATTATAATAAGAAATGGTGATCAATCCATTTCGGATTAGTAGCAATAGATAAGAGTGTAAGATGTACAAGGTTAGTGCAAAATTGAAAGAAGAAAGAAAATCAGTACCTCGAGACATTTGTCTTTGGTTTCCGGTCGAATGATACACTGAATTCATAAAAAGAAAACATATTATGAAAATTAAAATATCATTATCACAATTAAAGAAAGTTGAGGATGTCTACGCTAAAAAATTCTTAAATACTCAAGATATTAATGCACCTAATATACTAGATCCCAGGGGGAAGAAAAGTTAACGTGCAGCTGAAGGTGGTGCCTAATTTACCATTAGAAATGAGTTCTTGTATTCAACCATAAAAACATGAATTCTGAAATACGCAATGTGTTTAGATATACGTTAATACATTTGATTTTGAGTTAATGTGAATTTATACAATTAATTTATTCACATTTACATAATTAATTTTAAATAAATATGAGTTAAAAGTAACGTGATTTTTATTTAGACGATAATATATATATACATATATATTAAATATTATTTAAAAATTTGTTATCAAAATTGATTTTGAATATATAATTATAAATTCTTGTTATGTACTGGGGGTTACCATACACATACACATGTTTCCGTACATATTGTCTACTTTGGGTTCAACTCTTACGGTTTTGCTTTGGACATCACCTAAAAGGCTTCTCTACCAATGGAAACAATTGTGTGTATATAAACTCATGTACATCCTCTTATTTGAACGACGTGAGACTTTGTTTGCATCATAACATAAATTTGAGTAAATAAAATTCTAAAAATAATTTTGTTTGATGAAAAAGTTATGTGAATGTGTACATCTTGAAATCAATTTTACTAATAGTCAAATATGTTACAAATATGATTTTGGTAATTTTGAATGCAAATATACTCATTATCTCACTTTTTCTCATTCTAGCTCTCATTCAAACCAATTGTGAAGTTAAAACACTACATAATCTAAGAGTTTATTTAGGTAAAAAGGAAATAAGCTTTTTTAAGTTAATTTGTAGAAGAAAAACAAATAGTTTCTCTAAAATATTATTTTTAACTTCTACGTAGTTATAATTTGTGAAGAAATTTATTTTCATTTTTTTCTTATTTTATTTTTTCTTAGAAATACTTCTAGAAAATTTAACTATATGTTTAGTAACATCTTTTAGTTATGATTTTCCGCATCTAAACTAAATTAACCTATTGTAGCTTTTGCATTTTGGATGTGACTTTATTATTAGATTATGTATTGAACGTGTTTCCAAAACACGAAAAGATAGTTAGTAAACTTAGTAGATTTTTCTTACAACTTTATATTATTAGTTTTGGTTATAATTATAAAATTGAAATTGGATTTTTTTTTATATCATAATAGTAAGCAACAACCATTAATTTTAAAGTTATTGAAGGTTAATTTTTTATATATCCTTTATTTATTGTTAACTCTATTTTTTATATATTTATTTATAATTAACATTAAAAATAATTATTATTTAAAATAAATGATACATTTAGAATAAAATTTAAATTTATAATATAATTAATTGAAAGTAATCATATTAATTTTTTTTTTTTAATGTTGATAATTTTTTGTACGTTATTTATAATTAGGATAGGAGCTACTATATTTATTCTCTTAAGTGACTAATATGAAACTATCTCAACTAAATTGCTACCATTCTCATTGGGTCTAATGCAATGACCTACAAAACAAAAGTTTTGGAGGGTTTTGTCCAAATATGATAGATTGGGGTGTCATATATGGTTCTCATAAGCCGCCAAAAGAGGGGAAGCAAATAACTTGGATCCAAACTTTGGCTAAATCAACAACTATTAGCTCGTTAATGCCAATTTGTTTTATATTTGAATCTTGAAAATATAAAATTTCACATTATGAAATGAGTTAAAATAAATTTGAATCTTGATTTCGAAAAGTTAAACTTGGTGTTCTGAACACTGCATTCATAATGGAAAACAATGTCGAAAGCAGTAAAATTGATAATTGTGAATGGTGAATAGAGAATAAAGCAAATCCAAAAGGCAAAAGACACCTTTAGCTGTAGAACATTGAGTGTCCAATGTGCATCGCATGCAGATGATGTGTTGTGCTGGAACAAATGATAAAGATAAAGGCCTGACAAGTTTGTCTCTCTTCTTTGTTGGCACCTTATTCAGTGCTAAACCTTTGCCACTTTTGAAGCTGATGCATGATGTCCATGAAGACATCATGTTAAATGGAAAACTGGAAAAATGCTTGAATGAAGCTAGTTATTAACTGATGTTCAAGGGTTAAAATAGAATAGAGTGAGCTAAAATCTAGGAGATAAACTAGGACATTGACTATCTAAGGGTAAGGAAATTTTCTTAAGATTATTTACACATATGAGCTAAATCAGGGGACCAAAATTGGAACTTTCTAATTACATAACAAGAAAAGTAACACTCCAAGTAAGCATGGGAATACTCACAACATCCAACTGCCAACTAACAACGTAATTAAGTGACGGAAACGATCTTGTCCAAAAACGATCATGTCCCAAAACCTGTGAATCTTTTCTTCAACAAAATCACAATAATTAAATTTTCAACGCACTTTGTTCATTCATGAAAATTAATTAAACTTGATACATGAAAATTATATATATATATATATATA